ACAAGTGTTTACCTGGAGAGAGTTCCGGGGGTCAACGCCCCCGCGGCCCGGTCTGTGACCAGGCCTCCTGGTGGATCAGAGCCTGATCAACCAGGCTGGTGCTGCTGGCTGCACGCAAACCAACGTACGAGCCACAGCCCGGCTGATCAGGAACTGACTTTAGGTGCTTGTCCAGTGCCAGCTTGAAGACTGCCAGGGGTCTGTTGGTAATCCCCCTTATGTGTGCTGGGAGGCAGTTGAACAGTCTCGGGCCCCGGACACTTATTGTATGGTCCCCTTAACGTGCTAGTGACACCCCTGCTTTTCATTGGGGGGATGGTGCATCGTCTGCCAAGTCTTTTGCTTTTTATAGTGAGTGATTTTCATGTGCAAGTTCGGTACTAGTCCCTCTAGGATTTTCCAGGTGTATATAATCATGTATCTCTCCCTCCTGCGTTCCAAGGAATACAGGTTTAGGAACCTCAAGCGCTCCCAATAATTGAGGTGTTTTATCTCCGTTATGCGCGCCGTGAAAGTTCTCTGTACATTTTCTAGGTCGGCAATTTCACCTGCCTTGAAAGGTGCTGTTAGTGTGCAGCAATATTCAAGCCTAGATAGAACAAGTGACCTGAAGAGTGTCATCATGGGCTGTGCTGATATTATTCGTACAATTATTACAATATTGCATGACAGTAAATCTTCTATTTTTTTGTTTGAATAAAAATTCATCATGTGAATTAAAAATCAAAATGGAATTCATTTGTAAAGCCTGAAAATGTAACTAATGAACAAAGGAAATGTTAGTTTAGTGCCAGGAATGCCTGCATTGTTTATTCTGGACCCTATTTTGAAATTCGAATATTTTGGACTTTGCACTAAATTGGTCAAATTACCAACTTCCAATCACTTTATTTTGTAGATGAAACAACTGAGTTGGCAATTTATTGTGCTCAATCGATAGAATAGAAGTAATACTAGTGAAATAGCTAAGAATTTGGTCGACTGGAATAAGGTAATTGGCCTAAAATGGGAATCAAAGTCAGCAAAATCGCCGATGCGTAAATATTGCTGACACATCAAAATTCGCGAGAGCATAATTTCATCAATTTCCCATCAAATTTTGTACTTTTTGTTTTATTACCTTCAGAAATATATTCTCTATCATTTCATAAGAAAAAATAACAAAATTATTTGACACTGGTGTGCACTTTGAAATTTGGCCTCTGGACCCTGAAAGGGTTAAAATCACTAGACAGGACTCACAGCAATGGTTTTAAGCTGGAAAAATTCAAATTCAGGAAGGATATAGGAAAGCACTAGTTTGGAAATAGAGTTGTGGATGAGTGGAACAAACTCCTGAGTACAGTTATAGAGGCTAAAACATTGTGTAATTTTAAAAATAAGTTAGAAAAATACACGAGTAGGTGTGGGTGGGTATGAATTGGACCTGACTAGCTTGTGCTACTAGGTCTGATGCCGTGCTCCTTCCTTAAGTGGAAGTGACCTGACTAGGTGGGTCATTGGGCTAAGCCAGAGGGTGACATGGACCTGCTTTGCATAGGTCAGTAGACCTGCTGCAGTGTTCCTTCTTTCTTATTTTCTTATGAGAGGTTATTAACCCCTTGAGGGTATATCCCATAGTTAAATGTGATGAAGAGAGAGAGAGAGAGAGAGAGAGAGGGGGAGGGAGATATCTAGTACACTAGTTTGTCCACAGGGTCCAAGAATTTAAAAAAAAAAATTATTTTTTCGTACGAAATGGTAGAGAATCTTTTTCTGAAGGTAATAAAACAAAAAGTACGAAATTTGATGAAAAATTTATGAAATTACACTTGTGAATTTTACTGCATCGGCGATATTTGCGCATCAGCAATTTTGCCCACTTTGACTCCTATTTGAGGCCAATTACACTATTCCAGTTGACCAAATTCTTAGCTATTTTGCTAGTATTACTTCTATTTTATCGATTGAACACAAGAAACTGCCCAGCCATCTACAGCCTCTCCTCACTTAACAACGGAGTTTCGTTCCTAAGAACACATCATTAAATGAATTCATTGCTAAGTGAGGAGCATACTATACTGGGAGGGAGTTTGTGTCAACCATCTTTGATATTGTTTTAATGTCACCTTTGCACCATTTATATTTCTGGTATACTGTATTTTTAAATGTTTATACAGTAGTGTACTTTATATTGAAATAAGGAGAATACAGGAAATCAGCTCTAATATACATTACAGTGGACCCTCCCTTTTCGTCTTTAATTCGTTCCAGAGAGTACAACGAAATGAGAAATTGACTAAAACTGAAACCATTTTCCCCATAATAATGTAAATCCAATTAATCCATTTCAGACATCCAAAAGTGTAAACAAAAAATACATTTTATAGAGAACAACTATATTCCATGGCTTATTTATCTATCACAATTCATCTAATATGATATAATAAACAATACGTATTAATAACATAGAAACATGATATATACTCTAGAATGAATAAAATATTTCATTACATATGTGAGGAGTAAGTGGTGATGTTGAGTTTACAAGGGCCACTGAGAGAAACAGTACATATTAGTGGTGGTGGAGGCTGCAGCGGAAGCCACCAACACAATTCACACAAACAATATATGTAATTTATAAATAAGAAATATTTACACTTACTGTACCTTGGAGATGCTGGCATTGGTTTAGGGTAGTGGAAGATAGGTAGGGCAGCATATGTTTGTCAGTGGCCCTATATACCTCCAATAGCTTTGGAGGAGTCAGTTTCGTGTCCTTTTTCTATCACTTAATTGCTTATTTGCTACACTTTATCACTGGCTGGCACTATAGCCTTTATTGACTCCTGCTGCTTTGGTATCGTACATATCGTAGAATCACTGAAGGCACATTCTCCCCTCTCTCTTGCTCCTCCACTATGGTACTTTGCTACGAGTTTTTTCTTGAATTCTATCATGTTTCTCACCTTCTTTATCAACGGGCTGGCACTAGCAGCTTTCTTTGGGCCCATGGTGGCTTATTTAGCAGTCACACAGAATAATCAAGTGCAAAAAACAATGAATTATTACAAAATGTTTCCTATGGCCTCAGAGGATAATGTTCACTTACCCATAAACAAAGAGACACTGCCTCCTCAGAATGTGTGTGTGTGGGAGGTTGTGTGCGCGGCACACTAGGACATGTACTGTACCACCAACGAGAACAGAGGAAAGCAACGAAAATGGAGGCAATAATTTTACAGAAAAAATCGGTGATAACGGAAATGAGCAAAAACAGAGTCCAACGAAAAGGGAGGGTCCACTGTATTTAGGTACGAATACTGGTCAGAGAGCCCATTGTAAGTCCCAGGCATTGGTAAACGAGTATGTCGCTAAGTGAGTAGAGGCTGTATTTCAACTACCCAATAAAGTGATCAGAAATTGGTAATTTGGCCAATTTCACACAAAGTCCAAAATATTCCAGTTTCAAAATAGGGTTCAGAATAAACAATGCAGGCATTCCTGGCACCACAATTACGTTTCCTCTGTTTAACTTTACAGAAGAATTCCATTATGATTATTTATTCACACCAAAAAATAGAAGTTTTACTGTTATGCAACACTGTAATAATTGTATAAATAATAAAAGCGCATTTGTGAACATATATTAGTCCCACCAGTTGACATGTATTGGACGCATAATGTCATTTGCTTACTCTTGAACATTGGTAAAAATCGAACATTTCTGCTACTTTGTGCTCAATTTCAAGCTATTTTCAAAATCATCTTTATTTCTGTAATATACCTTGCATTTTATCAAATGAGACCAAGAAACCGTGAATACAATCGTAAAAATCAAATAAAAATACACCACAAAGTCGCTGTTGTAATCCAAAAACACGGTACAGTTTTTTCTCATTATGCTCTGCGTGCTGCAGGATTTGTTTTATATGGTGACACTTACCACATAGATGCATTCTCTCATATCTAGGCCCAAATTTACCACTCCCAGCTTATCTGAGCTCATGATGTAGTACTACGGCTTGGACCCTGGCTTCAATGCCGTAGAACCATGGGATGGACCCTCAAAGGGTTAAAAGCAGAAGTGATATAAGAAGGGTGGAGTATATAGAGAGCAAAAGACAGGTGAAGAGAGTGGTGAGGGAGTGCAAAAGGAGAGCAAATGATAGAGTGGGTGAAGCAGTGTCAACAAATTTTGCTGATAATAAAAAAACAATTGGAAATAAATAGGTTAAGAAAGCCTAGGGAACAAATGGATTTAACAGTTAAAAGCAGAATAGAAGAGTTAGTAGATGGGGAGTTGGAGGTATTGGGAAGATGGAGAGAATATTTTGAGGAACTGTTAAATGTTGGAGAGAGAGAGAGAGGCAGTAATTTCATGCATTGCCCAGGGAGGTATAACATCTTTTAGGAGTGAAGAAGAACCAGATATGAGTGTGGAGGAGGTGTGTGAGGCACAGTAGTAAAGATCTGGTAACAAGGGTAAGGAATTTATTCACAAAATAAATGAATGAAAGCCATGACACTAATAGCTATCACAATGATATAGTATTTTTATGGATTGGGACCCAATATACTATTGACCGAGGAAGTTATGGTAGTACTGATTAACAATTAACACCTGATTAATAATTTGGAGAACAAAATTAAAGGAAAGTTGGAGTCCATTCTGGACCATTATCAAGACTGAAACTTTGTTTAGTTTCACTCCAAATTATGGGTTAGTCATCATGTCTCATGAAATTGTAATAACACGATTGCAAACAAACCAGGGAACAGGTGGGGTTTGAACCCATGGCCAGTCAGTCATAAAACTCTCAGGCTAGTGTGTAAGAAACTCGGCCAAGTGGTTTAAGTGGTTTACACACTGACCTAGAGTTTTACCACTCACTCACCATGGGTCATGGCTTCAAACCCCACTAGTTCTGTATTTTTTTTTATGGGTTAGCCATTAACTGTTGCAGCTTCATTTACAGTAGTAAAGAGTTGGTTACACTGGAGGGAAACCATATCCTTACTTCTCTAAGCTGAGGGAGGGAGCCAGTGTCAGATCACTACCATAATGCTCATCTTGCATCAGTTCAAGGACTTTGTTCTCTCCATATGCATCATCTCTGAGGCTCTTCTGATATCCTACCTGCACCTGATGGGTAAATATTATGTCAAAATGACAAGTGTAAATATTATAACTAAGATCTACAGTATACAAACATATCAAATATGAAACATTACCCTATTAGCATATGCTTTACTTGCTAGACACCATCTATAATGACTTCATATTGGATAAGAAGCCTTGGGGCTGTTTGTTAACTGAAAGAGGATATACAGGTGCTCCTCGACTTACAATGGGGTTATGTTCTGACAAACCCATAGAAAGTCAAATATGAATGTGATATGCTAAATAAGTAAAGAAATAACTATTATTATTATTAACACACTGGCTGATTCCCACCAAGGCAGGGTGGCCTGAAAAAGAAAAACTTTCACCATCATTCACTCCATCACTGTCTTGCCAGAAGGGTGTGCTACACTACAGTTTTTAAACTGCAACATTAACACCCCTCATTCAGAGTCCAGGCACTGTACTGTACTTCCCATCTCCAGGACTCAAGTCCGGCCTGCCAGTTTCCCTGAACACCTTTATAGATGTTACTTTGCTCACACTCCAACAGCATGTCACGTATTAAAAACCATTTGTCTACATTCACTCCTATCAAACATGCTCATGCATGCCCGCTGGAAGTCCAAGCCCCTTGCACACAAAACCTCCTTTATTCCCTCCCTCCCAACCTTTCCTAGGCCGATCCCTACCCCGCCTTCCTTCCGCTACAGACTGATACACTCTTGAAGTCATTCTGTTTCGCTCCATTCTCTCTACATGTCCGAACCACCTCAACAACCCTTCCTCAGCCCTCTGAACAACAGTTTTGGCAATCCCGCACCTCCTAACTTCCAAACTACGAATTCTCTGCATTATATTCACACCACACATTGCCCTCAGACATGACATCTTCACTGCCTCCAGCCTTCTCCTCGCTGCAACATTCATCACCCATGCTTCACACCCATATAAGAGCGTTGGTAAAACTAGACTCTCATACATTCCCCTCTTTGCCTCCACAGACTCCTAAGTGCACTGCTCACCCTTTTCCCCTCATCAATTCTATGATTCACCTCATCTTTCATAGATCCATCCGCTGACATGTCCATCCCAAATATCTGAATACATTCACCTCCTCCATACTCTCTCCCTCCAATCTGATATCCAATCTTTCATCACCTAATCTTTTTGTTATCCTCATAACCTTACTCTTTCCTGTATTCACTTTTAATTTTCTTCTTTTGCATACCCTACCAAATTCATCCACCAACCTCTGCAACTTCTCTTCAGAATCTCCAAGAGCACAGTGTCATCAGCAAAGAAAGGACAACTCTGTGACATTTTTACTCCACCTTTGCCAAGACCCTCACATTTACTTCTCTTACAACCCCATCTATAAATATATTAAACAACCACGGTGACATCACACATCCTTGTCTAAGGCCTACTTTTACTGGGAAATAATCTCCCTCTTTCCTACATACTCTAACTTGAGCCTCACTATCCTCATAAAAACTCTTCACTGCTTTCAGTAACCTACCTCCTATACCATACACCTGCAACATCTGCCACATTGCCCCCCTATCCATCCTGTCATATGCCTTTTCCAAATCCATAAATGCCACAAAAACCTCTTTAGCCTTATCTAAATACTGTTCACTTATATTTTGCTGTAAACACCTGGTCCACACACCCCCTACATTTCCTAAAGCCTCCTTGTTCATCTGCTATCCTATTCTCCGTCTTACTCTTAATTCTTTCAATAATAACTCTACCATACACTTTACCAGGTATACTCAACAGACTTATCCCCCTATAATTTTTGCACTCTCTTTTGTCCCCTTTGCCTTTATACAAAGGAACTATGCATGCTCTCTGCCAATCCCTAGGTACCTTACCCTCTTCCATACATTTATTAAATACGTAATAGCACCAACCACTCCAAAACTATATCCTCACCTGCTTTTAACATTTCTATCTTTATCCCATCAATCCCAGCTGCTTTACCCCCTTAAATTTTAACCTACTGCCTCACGAACTTCCCCCACACTCACAACTGGCTCTTCCTCACTCCTATAAGATGTTATTCCTCCTTGCCCTATACACGAAATCACAGCTTCCCTATCTTCATCAACATTTAACAATTCCTCAAAATATTCCCTCCATCTTCCCAATACCTCTAACTCTCCATTTAATAACTCTCATCTCCTATTTTTAACTGACAAATCCATTTGTTCTCTAGGCTTCCTTAACTTGTTAATTTCACTCCAAAACTTTTTCTTATTTTCAACAAAATTTGTTGATAACATCTCACCCTCCATTGCTCTTTTACATGCTTCACCACTCTCTTAACCTCTCTTTTTTTCTCCATGTACTCTTCCCTCCTTGCATCACTTCTTTGTAAAAACTTCTCATATGCTAACTTTTTCTCCCTTACTACTCTCTTTACATTATCATTCCACCAATCGCTCCTCTTCCCTCCCGCACCACAAACTTCTGCTGAACACTAACACTACATTTTTAAACCTACCCCATACCTCTTTGACCCCATTGCCTATGCTCTCATTAGCCCATCTATCCTCCAATAGCTGTTTATATGTTACCTTAACTGCCTCCTCTTTTAGTTTATAAACCTTCACCTCTCTTTTTCCTGATGGTTCTATTCTCCTTGTATCCCATCTACCTTTTAGTCTCACTGTAGCTACAACTAAAAAGTGATCTGATATATCTGTGGCCCCTCTATAAACATGTACATCCTGAAGTCTACTCAACAGTCTTCTATCTACCAATACTTAATCCAACAAACTACTGTCATTTCGCCCTACATCATATCTTGTATACTTATTTATCCTCTTTTTCTTAAAATATGTATTACCTATAACTAAACCCCTTTCTATACAAAGTTCAATCAAAGGGCTCCCATTATCATTTACACCTGGCACCCCAAACTTACTTACCACACCCTCTCCAAAAGTTTCTCCTACTTTAGCATTCAGGTCCCCTACCACAATTACTCTCTCACTTGGTTCAAAGGCTCCTATACATTCACTTAACATCTCCCAAAATCTCTCTCTCTCTCCTCTACATTCCTCTCTTCTCCAGAAATAACTACCATCACTAAATAAGTAAATAAACTAATAATTACTGTAACTAAATACCATACTGAAATTTAAACAAATGAATACTACAAGTTACGGACTTGCCGCCTTCATGCTGAATAATTACAGTATCTCATGTTTCATCTCCAAAGTAATTGCTTTTGCATCATCATAAAGTCGAAATATCATAAGTCAAACCATCATAAGTCAAGAAGCACATCTATAATTAAAACATTTATTACCCTACTGGCATGTGCTTTATCTGCTAACACCATTTATAGTGGCTTTTTGTTGGATAAGAAGCTTTGGAGCTATTTGTTAACTTAAAGTAAATATATATAAGTATAACAAACAAAAATTACCAACCAGTGCCAGAAGGAAAAGTAACACAGGTAGCTTCATGGTAATGGTAAGTGGAGACCCAGCTGTGTAGATCTTTTCGCCTCCCCTGCTTGCAGCACACTGCTGATGGCACCCACATCCTGCCTCTTATAAGTGTAAGGAATGCAGTGCAACAAGGACATAATGACAATTGGTTTGAGTCCAAGGTCCCATTAGTTCAGCCACAAGAACGATGATCTTGGTTCTATCACTAGGATGCCGAGCATCAAATGATAGTGTTTTCAGCCTATTATTACCTTATTAGGTAATGAAGACAGATTTCAAAATTCAGCACAATGACTATTTGCCTCACTGTTGGGACTTCATATATTTTTTACTTGAAGCAATTCACTGTGATGGCTAATGGATCTGCTAATTCCATCTCCACTCCTTTAGTCTTTAAACTCATTTTCCAGTTCTTTCTGCTTAGTGCTTCTTTTTGATTATAATAATAATAATAATAATCCAGTTCTTTCTAATGTAATTAAGAGCTTTTGTGTTAGTTGGCAGCCCAAAATTATATTCAGCTTAATTCATCAATATAATTGTAAACATGGTAATAAATCGTATCGTTTTCCTAGAGGGATTCCTGAAGGATACCTGTAGATCACTGCTGGCACACTCATCTCAGACATCGAAATCAGTGGTTCAAACCCCAGTATGGAGGGAAACATTAGGACATATTTCCTTAAGACACCTGCTGTCCATGTTCACCTAGCAGTAAAATAGGTGACTGGAGTGGGTTGCATACTGGAGACAAAACTGAACTAATTTGTGAGAAATCCTCTACATAAGGGGCTTTCTATATAGTAGTATGTCACTGATGTCAGCTAGGCCTGTATACCTTGTACATGTACTTATAGAAATAAATATGTATTATCATTATTATAACTGAAAGATGAGGTGAATCATAGAATTGATGAAGGGAAAAAGGTTAGTGGTGCATTGAGGAGTCTGTGGAGACAAAGAATGTTATCCATGGAAGCAAAGAGGGAAATGTATAAGAGTATAGTTATACCAATGCTCTTATATGGGTGTAAATAATGGGTGGTAAATGTTGCAACGAGGGGAAGGCTGGAGGCAGTAGAAATGTGTTTGAGGGCAATATGAAGTGTGAATATAATGCAGAGAATCTGTAGTTTGGAAATTAGGAGGTGGACATTTAGAGAGGATGGAACAAATCAGAATGACTGGGAGAACATATAAATCTCTAGTGGAAGGAAGATGAGGTAGGGGTTGGCCTAGGAAAGGTTGGAGGGAGGGGGTAAAGGAGGTTTTGTGTGTGAGGGACTTGGACTTCCAGCAGGCATGCACAAGTTTAAGATAGGAGTGGAAACAAATGGTTTCTATGACTTGATGTGCTGTTGGAGTGTGAGCAGGGCAACATTTATGAAGGGATTCAGGGAAATCGGTTAGCAGGACTTGAGTACTGGAGGTGGGAAGTACAGAGCCTGCGTTCTGAAGGAGAGGTTTGGATATTGCAATTTTTTAACTGAAGTGTAGGCATGCCTCTGGCAAGACATTGATGGAATGAATGATGATGAAAATGTTTCTTCCTCTTCAGGTTATCTGGTTTAGGACAAGAAGTACTGCTAAAACACCTAAAAACTCCATTAGCTCCCTACACTCCTAAAATCAAAATAATGTCTGCATGAAATGTCCATTATCTTGAAGTGTTCAACAAATTGTAATAATGTTGGTAAAATTACCAACAATATGTTAGGTAAAAGGACTAGTGTAATGCGATATCTTACTATGGCAACATTTCACTCTCCAAGAGCTCCTGGAGAGTAAAACGTTGCCACAAAAATAATAAAACAGCAACTTCAATGTAAGTTCCCCATAGTCTCATCTTCCATCCAGAGTGCCAACCTTAACAGGCACGTAAGTGTCCCCGCCTTCTAATAACATGTTCATTTTTCCACTATAATCTACCTCGTCCATAATTACTATCGCATTTGCATTGCCTGTTTAGTAAGGTGAAGTCTAGGATCTTTACTTAATTCATGGTTTAACTTAAATCTTGGAAGACAATTGTGTTGCAGAGGTCTGAACTTTGCTCAGACCTCAGAAATACAACTGCAATACAGGCAAAGCAAATGCAATAGTAACTATAGACAAGGTAGATTATAGTGGAAAAATGAACATGTTATTAGAAGACTGGGGAACTTGCGTGTCCCTTAACCCGTAAACGGTCCAAGCAGATCTACATTCACATGTGTAGTGCTACAAAAGTAGATCTATGTTTTTTTTACACATTTTCAAATGTAAAAAAACAAAAAGAAGATCTACTTTTTTTTACATATTTTCAAATGTTGAAAAAACGTATAGTATATACGTTTGGACCATTTACGAGTTAAACTCCTCCTATTTAAAACATCTGGAAACACCCCTGGTCTACCCCTAATCTAACTCTGGGGCTACCCTCCAGCTCCTTGGATCAAATTTCCTACCTCCCATTCCCAAGGCTCTATATAATACCTACAGGTTAGGGCCTTCTCATAAATATAATAATAATGTGCATCCAAAATATCCTGTTAGCAAGATCAGATAAAGACATAGTATGATCTAAAAAAAAATAGTTATTTTTCTTTTATGGTGATACAGATCAGACTGCATGCATTATCTTGTGTCTCTTCCTGACTTACAGGAATATTAAAAAAGAAAATTCTGTATGTCATTTTTAAACACATTTTATACAGTATGTGTGTACTAACCTATTTGTGGTTACAGGGGTTGAATATCAGCTCCTGGCACCAACCTTTAATTTGCCAATTACCAGATTCACTCCACAGTAGCCTCATGGGCCCTATCCTATCTGCTCTTAAAACTATGTATGGAGCCTACCTCCACCACTTCACTGAAGTCATTCAACTTCAACCAATCTAAGACTGACGAAATAGTTCCTGCCATCCCTGTAGCTCATCTTGCCTTTAACTTCCTACTGTGTCCCTCGCTATCTGTTTCTTGCCTCTCAAACAGCCTGTCCCTGTCTACCCTATCAATCTCCCTTAGTATTTTATATGTTATCATTTCTGTATGTATAATCATCTCCCTGATTTTTCTGTCCTCCAGTGATGTTAGATTCAGTTCTGTTAGCTGCTCCTTGTAGCTCATAACCCTTAGCTCTGGAAAAACCCTTCTTGCTAAGCTCTGCACTTTCTCCAGTTTTTTAACATGCTTTTTCAGGTGTAGGCTCCATACTGATGCTATATACCCAAAGATGGGCCTGACATATGTTGTATATCTCAACAACTTATGCCTATTCTCTTTGCTGATGACACGACTTTTGTTGTCTCCTACCCACTCAACATTATTGTTAACGAAGAACTCGCAAAAATAGCAACGTGGTTGACCATCAGTAAACTTACATTTAATATAGACAAAACTTTTACATTATGTTTGGGAGTAGAGTAAGTGAGGTCCAACTAAATATTATGCTTAACAACACCCTTATTGCTAAACATAATGAGGGAAAATTCCTAGGTCTGCACCTTGATAGCAACCTGAAATTCAACGCCCACATCCAACACACAAAAAAAGTTTCTAAAACAGTTGGTATCCTCTCAAAGATACATTATTATGTACCACAAACAGCGCTTCTTACACTATACTACTCACTAATCTATCCATACCTCACCTATGCTATTCGTGCCTGGGGTGTCACAACAAAAAGCCACCTAAAATCAACAATAACACAACAAAAAGTCGCAGTGCGAATGATCTCACAATCTACTGCTAAACAACACCCCCCTCCCCCACTCTTCAAAGACCTAAACCTACTCGCTATACAAAACATTCACTTGTACTATTGAACAACCTACATTTATAGAACAATCAGTTCTAATATAAATCCTGACTTGAAATGCTTTTTGACAGTTGTAATAGGACTCATAGAAACAACACTAGGCATTCCCTGTGTCAGGCTACATCTTTTCAAAAACTCATTGTACATAAAAGGGACCAAAATCTGGAACTCTCTGCCAGAAATCTCCAGAACCACTGGCTCAGTTAGCATTTTTAACCATTTCAGGGTCCAGAGGCCAAATTTCAAAGTGCGCACCAGGGTCCAAGAATTAAAAAAAAAAATTATTTTTTCTTATGAAATGGTAGAGAATCGTTTTCTGAAGGTAATAATACAAGAAGTATGAAATTTGATAGAAAATTGACGAAATTATGCTCTCGTGAATTTTGATGTGTCAGCGATATTTACAAATCAGCTATTTTGCCGAATTTGACTCCCATTTTTGGCCAATTATTCCAGTTGACCAAATTCTTAGCTATTTCACTAGTATTACTTCTATTCTATCGATTGAGCACAAGAAATTGCCAAGCCAACTGTTTCAACTATAAAATAAAGTGATCGGAAATTGGTAATTTGGCCAATTTAACACAAAGTTCAAAATATTCAAATTTCAAAATAAGGTCCAGGATAAACAATGTAGGTATTCCTGGCACTAAACTAACATTACCTCTGTTCATTAGTTACGTTTTGAGGCTTTACAAATGAATTCCATTTTTATTTTTTATTCACATAATGAATTTTTATTTAAATAAAAAAATAGAAGATTTACTGTTATGCAATATTGTAATAATTGTATAAATATCATCACCACATTTGTGAATGTATATTAGACCCACCAGCTGACGTGTATTAGACGTGTGAGGTTATTTGTTTACTCTTGAACATCAGCAAAAATTTAACATTTCTGCTACTTTGAGCTCAGTTTCAAGCCATTTCCAGTGCTAAAACCAATCAAAATCATCTCTATTTCTGTAATATGTCTTCCATTCTATCAAATGAAACCAAGAAATCACAAATACAACTATAAAAAACATACAAAAAAACACTGCAAAGTCGCTGTTTTAATCGAAAATCACAGTCTGTTTTTTTCTCTCATGCATTGTGTGCTGCAGGATTTGCTTTATGTGGTGCACACATACCACATAGATGTATTCTCTCATATCTAGGCCCAAATTTACCACTCAAAGCTTATCAGAGTGAGCTGAGCTCATGGCGTAGATCTACGGTTTGGACCCTGAACGTAAATCCGTAGATCTACGGCACGGACCCTGAAAGGGTTAAAACTACTACAGTTAAAAAACACTTTATCTCCTTAACCTATCCCAGTCCATCATAAATACATATGTGAAAGCTATACATGCATTTGCTCAATATCATGAACATTAGATTAATCCATTTCAGACCCCCAAAAATACACTTACAAAAGCACTTACATAAATACACTTACATAACTGTTCGAGTTTTGAGCTGTTCGTATCCCGAGGTACCACTGTATTAAGTTCTAACACAACTATGGGCTTTTCCTGGCAACACTCGGGAGCATCATGGCCGACGCGGCAGGTTGTGTAGCGGGCTAGCTGCGGGATTTTCAAGGATAGCTCCTGGTCAAAGAGGCTGACCAGGTCCCTACTTAACAGAACTCAGTGTGAATGCTTTGAGAAGATACCAGTGCAGCTAACGGACACCCCAGTGCATCGTTTCAGCGTAAATAGTTGAAGTGTTGTGCAGTTTTAGAGGGTTTGGTGTTGTTGAGTCAGGACCAGTCAGCACCTCCCCCCCTCTCTGCTGGGGGGGAGGGGGAGGGCATGTGTAGTAAACAGTGACCCTCTCATAACGCCTCACCCCTGCGCGTCTCCCCCGCCTCACCCACCCAACTCCCAGCGCCACCCCATCTATAGAGGGTACTACTCCCCTAACCCACGATGTTAGCGATGGCACTGCAGGGAGTGCCGGGCTCACAGGAACTTCTACTACAGGGACAGCGTCGTGGAGTTTGACCGCGAGGCAGCTGTCAGGTGTGCCACAGGCAGTGTGTACTCAGTTCCTTAAGCTTCAACATCCGTGCACACGAGGGCCTGGGATCTTCAATCAACTTGGCGTCCACCAGGACGCTGACATGTCCCTAGGGCAGCTCTCCATCGGGCTGCTAACGGAGTCACTGGCTTCTTGGACCTCTTGGGGAGGGTCGATGGTGCTCGTGCAAGCAGCAGATCCCGGGGCAACATGCTGCTGTTTGCAATGGCTGTCTGCCGAGGAGAGTCAGGCACCTAGCAACATCTGTTGTTGGGGCATTGGATGAAATCCCTACTATGTTTGTTAACTGCTCATTACTCTGTAATTTGTCTATGATTGTAATCATGTGATAACGTGTTTATCATTCATTACCTTTGAAACTTGTCATGATTGTGACCAGCTCTACCTGGAGCTCATTACCTTTGTAAATTCTCATGATTAATGTGTTTGATTCATTACCTTTGCAATTATTCATGAGTGTGACCAGCTCTACCTGGAGCTCATTACCTTTGTAATTTGGTCATGATTATGACCAGATCTAGTTCATTACCTTTGTAACTTGCTCAGCTATCAAAACTTTGGAGTCCAGCCCCTGGACCAATTATGTACCTCTGTAATCTTTTGACTACCGCCCACAGGATGGGTATGGGGTGCATAATAAACATATTAAACTAACTTTCCTGGCAAGATGTTAACCTGCTATTGTAACTAAGTAATCTTGTTGGAAAATAAAATTATCAATACAGGGGCATTGACCCCCTGAACATTCTCCCCCTAAGCAGACTTCAGGTAAGAAAAACTACACAAGTATAAATAAATAAATAAAAAAAAAAACTTACATAGGAGGGCCCTGTTTTACAGCATTTCACTTTACAGTGTTTCACTATTACAGTGGTTTTCAATTATGCCCATTCTTCATTTATCCAGACTTTCTACAATACGTATATTCACCACTCACTATAAACTAAGGATGAAAATATTTTTAGGGACATAATGTGTGTGCTGTATATGCATTTTTTAGGCCTATCTTTACTGCTCACTGAATATCTGAGAGTGTAAACATATTATCAGGCTTTTATATGCATTTAAAAATTAAAAAAGGCTATGTTTCACTTCACAGCAATTTTCATTTTACACCAATAGCCTGGAACCTAACCTAATGTATAAGCAGAACTCTCCTGAACAATTTGCATATGCCAACCCCTCTTTTTTTCTTTGAGTCAAGAGCCCTTTAAAAATGGTATGGTGATACCGACAAGATGTGGGGAAAAAAACATTTACAGTGGACCCCCGGATTTCGAAGTTGTTGGATTTCGTAACATTTGGAAATACAGTGGACCCCCGCATAGCGACCTTAATCCGTGCAAGAGGGCTGGCTGTTATGCGAAATGTTCGCTATGTGAATGAATTTTCCCCATAAGAAATAATGGAAATAAAATTAATCCATGCAAGACACCCAAAAGTATGAAAAAAAATTTTTTTTACCACAAAAAAATGTTAATTTTAGTACACACAAACTGAAAAAGGCATGCACAATTACATGACACTTACTTTTATTGAAGATCTGGTGATGATTGATGGATGGGAGGAGGGGAGAGAGAGTGTTAGTGTTTAGAAGGGGAATCCCCTTCCATTAAGACTTGAGGAGGCAAGTCCTTTTCTGGGGTTACTTCCCTCTTCTTTTAATGCCACTAGGACCAGCTTCAGAGTCACTGGACTTCTTTCGCACAACATATCTGTCCATAGTGGCCTGTACCTCTCGTTCCTTATGAATTGTCTAAAGTGGTTCACAACATTGTCATTGTAACAGTCACCACACGGCTTGCAATAGCTGTGTGAGGGTGATTTTCATCAAAAAAGGTTTGCACTTCAAGCCATTTTGCACACATTTCCTTAATCTTGAAGTAGGCAATTCCTCAATTTCTCTCTCCCCTCCTTTGAACCAGTTTCCCCCCAGGTCTGGCCTCTTGCTCTTGAAGTTTGATCTATCAGCTCATCAGTGGTTAGTTCTTCATTGTCCTCCTCCACCACTCTTCCACATCATCCCCACTAACCTCCCAACCCCAAGGACTTCCCCAATGCCACAATTGATTCCTCAACTGGTATACTCCTCTCAGGTTAGCCTCAAACCCTCAAATCCCTTTTGTCTACACATTCTGGCCACAGTTTCTTCCAAGCAGAGTTCAAGGTTCTCTAGTCACTCCCTCCCAAGCCTTACCTATAAGGTTTACACAATTGAGGATATTAAAGTGATCCTTCCAAAACCTTTTAGAGTCAATCGAGTGTCCTGTGGTCACTTCAAAGCACTTTTGAAACATAGCTTTGTGTACAGTTTCTTGAAGTTGAAATGACCTGCTGGTCCATGGGTGGCAGGAGAGGAGTGGGGGATTAGGAGGCAAAAACTTCACCTTAATGAAGCTCATGTTCCCATAAAGTCGCTCTGCCACGTCTGTAGGATGACCAAGGGCATTGTCTAACACCAGGAGGCACTTAAGTTTCTAATTTCTTTTCAGTTAGGTAATCTTTCACATTGGGGCAAATGCATGGTGTAACCAGTTATAGAAAAATTCCCTAGTGACCCATGCCTTACTGTTTGCCCTCCACAGCACACACAAATTATCCTTGAGGACATTCTTTTGCCTGAACGCTCTGGGAGTTTCAGAGTGATACACTAATAAAGGCTTAACTTTGGCAATCACCACTAGCATTGCACACATCAACAAAGTAAGCCTGTCTTTCATAGGCTTATGTCCTGGGAGTGCCTTTTCCTCCTGAGTAATGTAGGTCCTGCTTGGCATTTTCTTCCAGAACAGGCCTGTTTCATCACAATTAAACACTTGTTCAGGTTTCAGTCCTTCAGTTTCTTATGTACTCCTTGAATTCCTGCACATATTTTTCAGCCGCTTTGTGGTCCGAACTGGCAGCCTCACCATGCCATATCACACTATGTATGCCACTACGCTTCTTAAATCTCTCAAACCAACCTTGCTGGCCTTAAATTCACTCACATCATCACTAGTTGCAGGCCTTTTTTTAATTAAATCCTCATGCAACTTCCTAGCCTTTTCACATATGATCGCTTGAGAGACGCTATCTCCTGCTAGCTGATTTTTCATTTATCCACACCAATAAGAGTCTCTCAACATCTTCCATCACTTGCGATCTTTGTTTCGAAAACACAGTTAAACCTTTGGCAAGAAACAGCTTCCTTGATTGCCGTTTTCCTTGCCCACAATAGAAGAGATGGTTGATTTGGGTTTCTTGTACAACCTGACCAGGTCGGTGATACGCACTCCACTTTCATACTTATCAATGATCTCTTTCTTCATTTCTATAGGAATTCTAACCCTTATTGCTGTAGGGTTGGAACTAGAAGCTTCTTGGGCCCATGTCACTTATTTTCCAGAAACAGCACCGAAAACACTGTAATAATACGAAATATTCCGATTGTATGCTTGAATGTTACCGCGGAGGCTGGCTGGTAAACAATGCCACCGGCGGAACATATGAGGCTGGCTCAGGCCGCACATTGGACGCGTCTCAGACGAAGGCCGCTGAGCGGGTTTTTGGGCGCTATGCGGGGCAAAATTTTAGCGATCAAAGCGTCCGCTATGCGGATTGTCCGCTATGCAAGGCGTCCGTTATGCGGGGGTCCACTGTATTATTATTTTTTAAATGAAAGGACTGATTTTAATTGAGGTGATAGTATGTACAATTTTAGTAACAGTGCCAGAATTCATTTTGTGTGTAACAAATGCACAGTTACCCTTTAACAATGATGACATTGATTTACCTAATTTTAATACAAATGACCCATTGCCATATATTGATGATTATCATTGTTTTATGAAAACAGGCCTTCACTTTATTCATGTCAATGCAAGATCACTTTTTCCAAAATTGGCAGAGATTAGGATTCTAGCTAAAAGAACTAGGGTGGCAGTTATATCCATCTCTGAATCCTGGTTGGATGATATGGTGACTGACAATGAGGTCAAAATAGAAGGTTACAATATAAAATGCTTAGATAGGAACAGAAAGGGTGGTGGGGTATGTGCCTACATTAGAAATGATTTAGCTACAACCCAATACCTGATTTAAATAACAATAAACTGGAGATTCTATGGTTTGAAGTGCTGCTTCCCAAGACTAAACCCATCTTAGTAGGAACTATTTATTTGCCCCCCCACCCAGGCCCAGTTCTTAAAAGACTTTTCCAGAGCCCTTTCTGGACTTGAAAACAATTGCGAGACAATAATACTGGGTGACTTCAATATCTGTTTTCAGCAGCAAAATAACAGGCTATGCAAAAAGCATAAGCAAATTCTAGGTTTAAATAGTTTACACTAAACCCTAATTAATACACCAATCCGACCCAAAACATTTCTCAGCCACCCAAAATTGACCACAAAACTTTGTAACGCTCTGAAACATTAGTCATCAGGCGACTTTAAACCACAGGCCTTAGTGATCATTTCATTATTATTACTGCCCAAGAAAATCACTGGGGATAAGATAGGCCTACACGGGCAATAAAATGAGGTCAGCTAGAATCTACAGTAAAGAAACACTGGTAAATAGGCTACACAATTGTAAACTGGACAGAGATAACAAGTTGCAGGGACGTAAACGATACCGGGAAAAATTCAAAAAAAATGTTCCCCACCATCCTTGATAATATTGCACCAGTTAAAGGGGTTAGGATTAAACGGGAACTGAATCCTGGATGACTACTGAGATATTAGATAATATGAAATTCAGAGACCAGCTGCTAAAAAGATTTAAAGCAAACAGACAGGATATTGCAGCACTAAATGAATTCCAAAGGGTGAGAACAAGTGCAGAGACTTATAAAAGGAGAAAAGGCAAAGCACTATTGCCAAAAATTGAAGGGGTATAATCATAACCCCAGAAAGCTCGGGCAACAACTAAAACAGTTGGGGTATAGCCATAAACCAGTAGATAGGTCTAACATAGTACTCACTATCGATAACAAGGTCTGCAACGAAACATCTAAAGTGGCAAATTGTTTTAATTCCTACTACACCATCTGTCGCATCAAACCTAGTAAAGTAAACTCCCACTGCAATCAAATACCTTTAACAAAGACTCTGATAAGTTTCAAACATACTATACCAATAAAGGGGTAACCCCAACAGTTGTCAACTATAAGTGTATCTCATGACTTTATTCAAAAAGAACTAGGCAGGTTTTAAATCCAACTAAGAGCACTGGCCCGGATAACACCCGTCTAGTTTCCAAAAGATGGGGGCTTTTGAGCTGCCCAATCCCTATTGCTCACATAAAAATCTGTCCAATCACCACTAATCCCAAATACTGGAGGGGTTCAAGGGGGCCAAAAGTTACTCCTATCTTAAAGAAAAATTGTAGGTCTGATGTAAGCAACTATAGGCCTTTTAGTATACTCAGTTATAATATCCAAAATTCTAGAGAGGACGGTGTACTGTCAAATAGTTAAGTACCTTAATGACAACAACATTCTCCATAGCTATCAATCGGGCTTTAGAAGATCTTACTCAACCAACACCTCCCTAATTAATCTGATGGATTACCTGAGAACGGAAATATCAATGAGGAACCTCATAGGTATGGTAACCTTAGACCTGCAAAAGGCCTTTGATACTGTCAACCACAATATATTACATAAGAAACTTCA